ATATGCCTAATATTAACCTTAAGTCATGCCTCAAGTCACCGCCCCATCGCTCCAAAGGGGTGCTAAGGTGGCGATAGCGCTAATAAATAGAGGAAGAACTAGTCTAGGACACTCCTACAACTCCACTTTGGGCCGTAAATCAGTGGCCAGCTCCGTCAACCTGTAACAATTTATTTGCTACAGAATCTTCTAAGAATCACCAGACATGCACTGAAATGGGACACTGATGGGTTAGGAAAAAGTTCTAGTCTCCCTAACCAGCTCCTAAAGCGAGCAGCGGTTATGTTGGGCCTGTGTTTTCTTGCTTGGGATTTCCAATTTCTTTTTTTCCCATTGTGCCTGTATTTCTGCCACCTGTGTCTGTGCTGCCTTATGACGTTTCCTTGCTACTGCTCCTCTGTGCAGTTTCTACTTCATCTACGGCAGCGGTGGAGACCAAGATAAGAATAAAACTTTCTTTCACTATCCTGGTCGATCCAGGGCAATTAAATCTAGTAATAAATTAAACACAGTAAAATGTACGCAGGTTTTATGTAATTTCATTGTCACCAAAAGGACCATGTTTCTAAAGCACATTAAAAAAAAAAATATGTCCTTGTAACTCTCAGGCTAAAGTTGCTTTGGTAGATGATAACACAGAAACAATCACTTGTTTTCAAAATAACTAGACAGACTGAAACACACACATATTAATGGAAAAGGATAACCTTCATATTAGCAAACACTAAGAGAAGGTAATGACCAGAAAGTAACAAGAAAATGGTAAGCATAATCACAAGCAGGTGATGTGGTTTTCTTCCTCTTTTTCTTCTTCTTTGCGTCCACCAGCTGTAAACTCTGGCGTAAAGTTCTAGATGTTCGTCCTATTCCAGAACCTGAGTGTTGTGTGTGCACCCGTTTTACAAATCTGACTCATTTGTATACAGACTGCTGGTTCCTTGCCTTTCAGGCAGATGCACTCTGACAGAAGGAAGCTCCCAATTAGTCGACTTTTACAACATGCTTTTTGGTAGGCAGTGGGTCTATTCTTGTTTTCCCTATAACAGGGCTCCGGAACCCACACGGGGAATGTGGTTTTCATAAAGGGACGCATATCTCAGCATCAACAACAAATAGCAGAGAATCCAGGGTTAAAATGAACTCCAGATTTCTTCAACTTTTTCTGCATTTACCCTGAAAAGGGCGGCGGTCATGCTGTTTTGTGGTTTACAGTTAGGATGCGATATTTGTGCCTTTCGACCCAACACAACCGATCTCAGTGAACTCCCAATTAGTTTCCACATACTTGTTAGGGGGCAGTAAGTATCATTCTTGTTTTCCCCCAAGATGGGTCCCAAAATCCACACAGGGATTTCATATTCTGATTTTGCTACTGGCACTATCCGAACTGGAACTCTTCACTGGCTGCTGAAGAGGAGGATGTAGTGGTTCTGGGGTTGTCCCGAGTGCTCTGGTGTAAGTTCTTGGCTCACCACTTGATTCTGATTAACAGTGAACACAATCATGTAACAGTTCACTATATAGTTAGAGTGGACCCTCTTTTGTTGCACTAGATATATCATTTTGGACTAATATTTTAACAGACCAACAGGCACTCAGTGGGTGTTGTGGTGAACATCATGGTGGCCACCTTTACTTCAAACGACATTTCCTTGTACCTTTTTTAGGCTGGGACAAGCTGAGAGCCAGTTTTAGTTTTGTCTTCCCTTAATCCACCTGGAGTGGTCTTAAACCTAAGACATTTGAGCCAGCAGCTGAGTATCTAGCCACAACTCTACCACGGCCACCACTCTATAGTTAGCTACCCTTTGAAGAGAAAATGAACACAGTGAGTCAATTTTCTAGCCGACACAAATATATATCTTCACTTATCGTATGATACAAACATACAATTTTAGTTGTCAGACAAGACAAATATTCAATTTCACTTGTCATGTCAGACAATACAAATATACAGTTTCACTTGTCAGACAATATAAACATACAATTTCACTTGTCAGACAATACAAATATACAGTTTCACTTGTCAGACAATATAAACATTCAATTTCACTTGTCAGGCAATATAAACGTACACTTTTACTTGTCAGACAATACAAACATATAATTTCACTTGTCAGACAATATAAACATTCAATTTCACTTGTCAGACAATACAAACATAAAATTTCACTTGTCAGGCAATATAAACATACAATTTCCCTTGTCAGAAAATACAAACATTTAATTTCACTTGTCAGACAATACAAACATTCAATTTCACTTGTCAGACAATACAAACATTCAATTTCACTTGTCAGTCAATACAAACATACAATCTCCCTTGTCAGACAATGCAAACATAAAATTTCACTTGTTAGACAATATAAACATAAAATTTCACTTGTCAGACAATACAAACATAAAATTTCACTTGTCAGACAATACAAACATAAAATTTCACTTGTCAGACAATACAAACATAAAATTTCCCTTGTCAGACAATACAAACATACAATTTCGCTTGTCAGACAATACAAACATAAAATTTCACTTGTCAGACAATACAAACATACAATTTTACTTGTCAGACAATACAAACATTCAATTTCACTTGTCAGACAATATAAATACACAACCTTTTGAATTAACACACTGGTGCAAGGGAAGTAACTGCTGGCAATCTTGCACGTTTATCCAACAGACTTACATTTTCTATTGCCAGATAAACCTGCTAAAATGCTAATATGAGGTCTGCAAGAATGGACAGGAAAGTTTGGAAGGACTCGAGGAAGTTATTTAACAAACACATCTCCAAAATATTAGAAGCATTATAAATCTTTAAAATAAAGTTCATCTTAAACAGGAATTTTTACAGCTAATCTGACAAAAACAAAGTCAATTCTTAGACACAATTATATTTTTACAACTAATATGACATGAAAATAAAAATCATTTCTTGGACGTAATTAGATATTTATAGCTAATGTGACAAGAAAAAAAAAATAATAATCATTTCTTGCACATAATCACATATTTACAGCTAACATAACATGGAAAAAGCATGTTTCCTACAAGATAAATGACCAGTTAAAAAAAAAAAAATTGACATGTAAAAAGGCATGGTACTCAAACACTTTTTATAGTTAGTATGAGTTAAAACAAAATATAGTTTACAAGCACAACCAAATTTTTAAACAACCACAAAAAAGAGAGAAAAAGAGAATATGCAGTTGACATGGTGAGCATTAAATGTCGCAAGAAAGCTGCTAAAAATATGTTAAACTGATGGCATTTCTAGCAATGGGGCAGCCTCTAGCTGAACAGTGTAATCTTGTTTCACGTGGGAATGTATACTATTTTAGCAAGTCTGCATGCTTGTATCATGGGCTGTTGCTGCCTCCCATATCACACAATTTAACACTAATTCTGAGAAAGACAGAAAAGTGCCAGCAGCAATGCCTGTATGTTCAGTCTCACAGTTGGTTACAAAAGTATGAAAGAAACAGAGATATTAACCAAGTCTTAATGACAAACACTTTCAATCTCTTCAGTCTCACAGTTGGTTACAAAAGTATGAAAGAAACAGAGATATTAACCAAGTCTTAATGACAAACACTTTCAATATTTTCAGTCTCACAGTTGGTTACAAAAGTATGAAAGAAACAGAGATATTAACCAAGTCTTAATGACAAACACTTTCAATATTTTCAGTCTCACAGTTGGTTACAAAGGTATGAAAGAAACAGAGATATTAACCAAGTCTTAATGACAAACACTTTCAATATTTTCTGTCTCACAGTTGGTTATGAAAGCATCAAAGAAACAGAGCTAAGATATATCAGTTAAGACTTAAGGACAATCAACTTTCAATATCTTTAATCTCACAGCAGGTTCTGAGCCTGTGCACTGTGCTGTGCTTCTTTGGACTCGGACATGAGTTAGAAGAAGAATGGAGCACTTCTGGGTTATACCCATGTGCCATGATGTTGATCCGTTGTTCAAAAACCTCAAACTCTGTTATCTTTTCAAATATCAGACAACCAACTAAGTTCATTTACGACATCCTATTAATAACTTCCCAAAAATAAGTAATTCCTCAGAATAAGCGACCAACCATCAAATTCCTTGCCAATCTCCTATTCAAATAAAAAATGTACCAATAATCTCTGTCAAATGGGAAGAGCCCTTGTTTATGTTTAGACGAGGGATCAGCATTATGGCACACTGGTGTAACCCATAAGTGCATCGTTCTATTTCTAACTCAAGCCTGAGTCTGAAGAATCTCAGCTCAGTGCTTGAACTCCGTTGTACCGGCGATGATCCTGAAATACTTTGGGTAGATTTTTAACTCCAAATTTTGCTAGAGCAGCGCCATTAGGCTACTCTTTTTCAATTTCCAACTGCCAAGGGATTTTTTTTTACATGCGCAAGAAAACACATGGGTGGCCGATCTTACTACCAAGAGGCCAGGGAAAATTATTATTGAAATTCACGTGAAAAAATCCCAGCCTTCCCTGGGGCTTGAACCCAGGATGTCCAGCACTTGGGACGGACCGCGTACTGCGAGACCACTCAGCCCCCTTGTGCTGGGTGTAACTTTAAAACGGCAGGCCCAGAGACGGGTCATATTGCATGGACCACAAATGGTCTCTGCAATACTGCCCAGGATTTCTGCTACAGAGAAAAGGACTTTCTCTTAGATGTAACTATCTCCTGCCGAAGGCTGACTTCTCCTTCCTGGTTATTTCCCTGTATATTATGTTTCAAATCTGAATGACACAAAATAACAGAAATAAATCATCTTCTGTTTTCATCATTAAAATGGTAGCTAACACACTGTGTTGTGGTTTACAGCTAGGATACGATATCCACACATTTAGGAACAAGACATCCGATTTCAGCAAATCCTTAATTAGTCGACTTTTACGACAAGCTTGTTCTCCCAAAAATGGGACACTGAAACCCACATGGGGAACAGAAACAAATCGAAAACGATTCCCATTCAAAATCAATGTTCTCTACCTCGGCCAAATTTTTTCATACTGAAACTTCCTTTCCTTATCCACAATCTCCCCGTTAACAACTTCGAATGTCTGATGTTTTATATAATGAAAATGATCAACAGCAAATTCATAAAACTCATTTTCCATTTTCCAGATTGGTGACTGCTGAATTTTCTCAATCGTTTCTGGTTTTGTGGGTACTTTTTTAGCTGTCCTCCTTAAGTGTGACCTCCGACCTGAGGGAGAAATCAGAAACATTCATAATATACAGCTTATATATTTTATATATTATATATTTATTAGTTTGCAGTTTACTTATTACAGGTGCAAGGTTCTTATCACTTTAGGTCGTGAGTACAGGGATTGGCCAGCTGGGGCTGCAGAATCAGAGGTTCAACAAATGATTCATGACAATTCCCGCTGCGGTGATGTGATTATCTATACAGATGGCTTGTGATGAGAGGTAGACGAAGTGCATGGGGGTTCACAGCAAAAGCGAATGTACGTTGCTTGGTATAACAAAGCCTAGCATTTGATATCACAATGTCTAGTTTAAGAATGGAGGGGAGGAAGTCACTGCTGCCTTCTGCTGGATTCAGAATCAACTGTACACACGTGTCGTAATTGTAACTGACTCACAAAGTGTCTCTTCTCCCTACATTTAGAATGCCCAGTAGATAAGTTCAGTTGTTTAAACTTTTTTTTTCTTTTGCTGTTATGGTCCACATTTTGCACTAATAACACAAATTTGCAAAAATCAATTTAGAAACACACAAATATTAACTCTCAAAGAACGGGCTAGGGTAAGGCCGCCAGATTTTGTAAAATAAAAAATGGAGCGATGACTCATTGTTTGTTAATAACATTTGTTTCCTGCTAATAGGCTATATACATAGTCAACATACTAAAATTGCTTTTCTTTTTTCTTAATCAGCTGTAAACTCCGGAGGAATATTGTGGTTAATAATAGCCCTTCAGACTTTAGTCTTGTTCCAGAAGATGAGTTGTTAAATGAAAACCATTAGGGTTACTACTGAATACATCCAGGGAGGCTAAATGAATACCTTTAGGGAGGATTCTGAATACCTCAAAGAATGCTGATAAATACCTCCAGGGATGCTGCTACTGAATTATTTTAGGGATGCTGCTGAACCTCTAGAGATATTACTGAATACCTCTAGGGATATTACTGAATACCACTAGGGATACTACTGAATACCACTAGGGATACTACTGAATACCTCTAGGGATGCTACTGAATACCTCTAGGGATGCTACTGAATACCACTAGGGATACTACTGAATACCACTAGGGATACTACTGAATACCTCTAGGGATACTACTGAATACCACTAGGGATGCTACTGAATACCACTAGGGATGCTACTGAATACCTCTAGGGATGCTACTGAATACCACTAGGGATTCTACTGAATACCACTAGGGATACTACTGAATACCACTAGGGATACTACTGAATACCACTAGGGATACTACTGAATATCACTAGGGATACTACTTAATACCACTAGGGATGCTACTGAATACCACAAGGGATACTACTAAATACCACTAGGGATACTACTGAATACCACTAGGGATACTACTGAATACCTGTAGGGATACTACTGAATACCACTAGGGATGCTACTGAATACCTCTAGGGATGCTACTAAATACCACTAGGGATGCTACTGAATACCACTAGGGATGCTACTGAATACCTCTAGGGATGCTACTGAACACCTCTAGGGATGCTACTGAACACCTCTAGGGATACTACTGAACACAGTATCTCTAGCAATGCCACTGCCATGTGTTCCCACTAACCAACATTTACTAATCTACCGTAAATCACACAGCAAAAGCCCTACCTTCAGCATAAAGCTGTGTGGCACCACGAAAAAAGCGTGGCAAGGTAACTTCCAGAACTGCGAGGAAATCCTTCAGTTCTTCTGTGATCCCAACCAGCAAATAATGGTGCAGGAGGTTGTGTTTAGCTTCTTCCAAAGCCCACTGATTCCCCGGCTCCCTAAATGAATTGGAATTTTCGATTAATCTTGGGAGACAATTGTGTGGTGAATATAAATATGATACATACAAATAAGTTTGAACAAAGAAGAGAGAAACAATAGATCACACAATTTATTGCCTAGCTGATTCTTCTGAGGTGTGTGAATACATTTTCTTCTTCTTGTTAGCGTTCATCTGCTGTGAAGTCCAACAGAAAGTTCTGGTTGTTCATCCACTTCTGGGCTCCAGCCCTGTTCCAGAACTTGAATTCTGCATGCACATCTATTTTATGGATCTGATTTACTTATATGCAGACTGTTGGTTCCTTGCCCCTCAGGTAGATGCATTCTGACTTCAAAGGAAACATCCCTAATTAGTCGCCTTGTACAAGATGTTTGTTAGGGACATCATAGGTATAGTAAAACATGGCCTAGAATGTGCTGAGGAATTTACATTTGTAATTGGTTTGAAAAAAGAAAAAAAAGGAATACACAGATATCAAAGCCTAGCTGTAAACACAACCTGCCAACCGCCCTTTGGAGGTTGAATGCAGATGTGTCCTGTAACTGTTGCAGGCCTGTCCCTCTTACCTGCCTGATAATACAGTGACCTAATAATTTGCATCTCCGATGTCAAGCCAATGAGAATCATTCCCCTCTACTCAAACTTAAACAAAACGGAATCAGACATTCCGCAACAAAATGAATAATATACATTTGATGGTTAGCTGCGTATCCTTTACAGGACGTTGCAGAACCAACCCCAACAGCCCCTGGCTGTTGTGTGGTTTTTCTAGGCAAATTAACGTCCAGTAGTTTGCCATCGTTTTCTGAACAGTTGGTTTTCCTGATAGCACTGTCGAAACTAACGCAAGGCGCATGGCCCGCAGCTGGGATCGAACCCGGCATTATGAAGCATTCGCATCTACTTAGCCACAGAGCTGACAATAAACATTTATAATACTTGAAGGGAAAAAAAAAACGAGGAAAAGAAGGCCAAAAAAAAAAAAAAAAAAAAAATGATTTAAAACGTTGACTGTAGCTGGGAGAGGAATTAAATAATGAAAATTATAAGACAAATAAACTGGAACGAATTCGAAAAAAAAAATAACCATACAGCAAAAAATACTAGAAAATTTACTTCAACTTGTAAAGGCGTGTGTGTGTGTGTGTGTGTGTGTGTGTGTGTGTGTGTGTGTGTGTGCGCGCGTGCGTGTGTTTGTGTGTGTGTGTGTGTGTAGGGTGGAGGTTACTCTGTATATGTTTGTGTCGGTCTGTGCGCTATTGGGAAAAGCGCTGAATTTACTCAACAATGCAAATTTATAGTCCTTCCATTCCTCAACAATATCAGTTGATATCAGTTCCACTATTCAACAATGTCAGTTCATATCAGTTCCACTATTCAACAATGTCAGTTCATATCAGTTCCACTATTCAACAATGTCAGTTCATATCAGTTCCACTATTCAACAATGTCAGTTCATATCAGTTCCACTATTCAACAATGTCAGTTCATATCAGTTCCACTATTCAACAATGTCAATTCATATCAGTTCCACTATTCAACAATGTCAGTTCATATCAGTTCCACTATTCAACAATGTCAGTTCATATCAGTTCCACTATTCAACAATGTCAATTCATATCAGTTCCACTATTCAACAATGTCAGTTCATATCAGTTCCACTATTCAACAACAATGTCAGTTCATATCAGTTCCACTATTCAACAATGTCAGTATTCAACAATGTCAGTTCATATCAGTTCCACTATTCAACAATGTCAGTTCATATCAGTTCCACTATTCAACAATGTCAGTTCATATCAGTTCCACTATTCAACAATGTCAATTCATATCAGTTCCACTATTCAACAATGTCAGTTCATATCAGTTCCACTATTCAACAATGTCAATTCATATCAGTTCCACTATTCAACAATGTCAATTCATATCAGTTCCACTATTCAACAATGTCAATTCATATCAGTTCCACTATTCAACAATGTCAGTTCATATCAGTTCCACTATTCAACAATGTCAGTTCATATCAGTTCCACTATTCAACAATGTCAGTTCATATCAGTTCCACTATTCAACAATGTCAGTTCATATCAGTTCCACTATTCAACAATGTCAGTTCATATCAGTTCATATCAACAATGTCCATATCATTCCACTATTCAACAATGTCAATTCATATCAGTTCCACTATTCAACAATGTCAGTTCATATCAGTTCCACTATTCAACAATGTCAATTCATATCAGTTCCACTACAACAATGTCATTCAATCAGTTCCACTATTCAACAATGTCAGTTCATATCAGTTCCACTATTCAACAATGTCAGTTCATATCAGTTCCACTATTCAACAATGTCAATTCATATCAGTTCCACTATTCAACAATGTCAGTTCATATCAGTTCCACTATTCAACAATGTCAGTTCATATCAGTTCCACTATTCAACAATGTCAATTCATATCATTCCACTATTCAGTTTCATATCACCACTATTCAACAATGTCAGTTCATATCAGTTCCACTATTCAACAATGTCAGTTCATATCAGTTTCCACTATTTCAACAATGTCAGTTCATATCAGTTCCACTATTCAACAATGTCAGTTCATATCAGTTCCACTATTCAACAATGTCAGTTCATATCAGTTCCACAATATTCAAACAATGTCAGTTCATATCAGTTCCACTATTCAACAATGTCAGTTCATATCAGTTCCACTATTCAACAATGTCAATTCATATCAGTTCCACTATTCAACAATGTCAGTTCATATCAGTTCCACTATTCAACAATGTCAGTTCATATCAGTTCCACTATTCAACAATGTCAATTCATATCAGTTCCACTATTCAACAATGTCAGTTCATATCAGTTCCACTATTCAACAATGTCAGTTCATATCAGTTCCACTATTCAACAATGTCAATTCATATCAGTTCCACTATTCAACAATGTCAGTTCATATCAGTTCCACTATTCAACAATGTCAATTCATATCAGTTCCACTATTCAACAATGTCAGTTCATATCAGTTCCACTATTCAACAATGTCAGTTCATATCAGTTCCACTATTCAACAATGTCAGTCATCTCAGTTCCACTATTCAGTTCCACTTCCACTCAACAATGTCAGTTCATATCAGTTCCACTATTCAACAATGTCAGTTCATATCAGTTCCACTATTCAAATGTCAATTCATATCAGTTCCACTATTCAACAATGTCAGTTCATATCAGTTCCACTATTCAACAATGTCAGTTCATATCAGTTCCACTATTCAACAATGTCAGTTCATATCAGTTCCACTATTCAACAATGTCAGTTCATATCAGTTCCACTATTCAACAATGTCAGTTTCCATATCAGTTCCACTATTCAACAATGTCAGTTCCATATCAGTTCCACTATTCAACAATGTTCCACTATTCAAACAATGTTCATTTTTGCTTTTCCATCAGTATCAGTTCCACTATTCAACAATGTCAATTCATATCAGTTCCACTATTCAACAATGTCAGTTCATATCAGTTCCACTATTCAACAATGTCAGTTTCATATCAGTTCCACTATTCAACAATGTCAGTTCATATCAGTTCCACTATTCAACAATGTCAGTTCATATCAGTTCCACTATTCAACAATGTCAGTTCATATCAGTTCCACTATTCAACAATGTCAATTCATATTCAGTTCCACTATTCAACAATGTCAGTTCATATCAGTTCCACTATTCAACAATGTCAGTTCATATCAGTTCACTATTCAACAATGTCAGTTCATATCAGTTCCACTATTCAACAATGTCAGTTCATATCAGTTCCACTATTCAACAATGTCAGTTCATATCAGTTCCACTATTCAACAATGTCAGTTCATATCAGTTCCACTATTCAACAATGTCAGTTCATATCAGTTCCACTATTCAACAATGTCAATTCATATCAGTTCCACTATTCAACATGTGTCAATTCATATCAGTTCCACTATTCAACAATGTCATTCATATCAGTTCCACTATTCAACAATGTCAGTTCATATCAGTTCCACTATTCAACAATGTCAATTCAGTTCCACACTATTCAACAATGTCAGTTCATATCAGTTCCACTATTCAACAATGTCAGTTCATATCAGTTCCACTATTCAACAATGTCAGTTCATATCAGTTCCACTATTCAACAATGTCAATTGACTTACCTTTTGCTATTCAACAATATCAGTTGATATCAGTTCCACTATTCAACAATGTCAGTTCATATCAGTTCCACTATTCAACAATGTCAATTGACTTACCTTTTGCTATTCAACAATATCAGTTGATATCAGTTCCACTATTCAACAATGTCAGTTCATATCAGTTCCACTATTCAACAATGTCAATTGACTTACCCTTTTGCTATTCAACAATATCAGTTCATATCAGTTCCAGTTCATTCAACAATGTCAATTGACTTACCTTTTGCTATTCAACAATATCAGTTGATATCAGTTCCACTATTCAACAATATCAGTTGATATCACTTCCACTATTCAACAATGTCAATTGACTTACCTTTTGCTATTCAACAATATCAGTTGATATCAGTTCCACTATTCAACAATATCAGTTGATATCAGTTCCACTATTCAACAATATCAGTTGATATCACTTCCACTATTCAACAATGTCAGTTCATATCAGTTCCACTATTCAACAATGTCAATTGACTTACCTTTTGCTATTCAACAATATCAGTTGATATCAGTTCCACTATTCAACAATATCAGTTGATATCACTTCCACTATTCAACAATGTCAATTGACTTACCTTTTGCTATTCAACAATATCAGTTGATATCAGTTCCACTATTCAACAATATCAGTTGATATCAGTTCCACTATTCAACAATATCAGTTGATATCACTTCCACTATTCAACAATATCAGTTGATATCAGTTTCACTATTCAACAATGTCAGTTGATATCAGTTCCACTATTCAACAATATCAGCTGATATCAGTTCCACTATTCAACAATGTCGGTTGATATCAGTTCCACTATTCAACAATGTCAACTGACTTACCTTTTGCTGTTCAACAATATTAGTCGATTTGAATTCCAACATTCAACAGTGTAAGCTTATCACACTTACATTGTTCAGTAATAAAAAGTAATTTCTTTTTCTTCTTTTCTTCTCCTTTTTCTCCTTCTTCTCATTTAATGCATGTAAACAGATGGAGAATCCTGGTTGTTCATCCACCTCTACAATTTGATCTTGTTCCAAAACTTGAGTTTCGCCGGCACATCATTTTTTTACAACAGATCTGGCTTATTTGTGTGCAGGCTGTTTGTTCTTTGCCTCTCAGGCAGATACACCCGAGGAAACACCCCTAATTAATCGCCTTTTACTACACTCTTTATAAGGGTCGACGCCTGTAGCTTAGGCGTTGCGAACTCACTATACTGACCCGCCTTTGCTCAAAAAAAAATATTTACTCCCACCTGCTTTTACCCAACAAAACAGAATTATTCCCCTCAGACACGTAACTCAACAAAGCAGATTTATTCCCCTCACACGAGTTATAAAAAAAAAAGATTTATTCCCCTCACACGAGTCACTCAAAAAAAGAAGAGTTATTCAGCTCACACGAGTTTATCAACAAAACAAGATTTATTCCCCTCACACGTTATTCAACAAAAGAGATGATTCCCCTCACACATTATTCAATAAACAAAGATTTATTCCCCTCACACGAGTTATTCAACAAAACAGATTTATTCCCCTCGCAGGAGTTATTCAACAGAACAGATTTATTCCCCTCACACGAGTTATTCAACAAAACATATTTATTGCCCTCACACGAGTTACTCGAAAGATATATTACACCCCAACCCCCTTCCCACACACACTTATCAACAGAAAAGATTTATTCTTCTCAAGCCAGTTATTTAAGATCACCCCAACCCCCTTCCCACACACTTATCAACAAAACAGATTTATTCTTCTCAAGCCAGTTATTTAAGATCACCCCAACCCCCTCCCCGGGATTATTCAACAAAACAGATTTATTCCCCATTTTGTAACATGCATATTGTTTCAGCCATGAGAAACTCACCAACAGTCAGCATGGTGCCCGCAGAAGTAAGGTATCTGTACCCACAAGTTCTCCGGGTCACAGTCATCGCCGTCCCTGGCCACACACTCGTCAAATGACTGTGGAATAGAGAAAACCCCGTGTTGTTAAAACAAAGGCGATAGAGTGCAGACAATACCAAACACAGATGTTAAATTAATATCAGTGAAGGTCTTTTCTTTCAAGTTTCTCCCCTCCAGGATTGTATCTCAAGGACGAGAATCACACCGGTACAAATCCTGGAAACCGGGTTCAACCGCATAGCCACGAAGCACAGCTATACTGGGGCATTGTAAAACGATAAACACAAATGTCGACAACAACGGTCCTGAAATATATCTGTGGAAATGCACATAAATAAACAGAGGTGAATCTCCTGGCCCCTTATCTATATAACATACAGCACATTGGCAACAAGAACCTTTTAACTACAGTGACAAGGCGAATAATGCAATGGTATGGACATGTAATAAGATCTGACAGCCTCTCAAAAACAAAACTGCAGGGCTCAGTAGAGGGGAAGAGGAGAAGGGGCAGACCAAGAAAGACTTGGTTACAAAACCTGACTGGACAGGCCTCAGGCATGCAGCCATGAAGTCCATCGCAACTGACCGCCAAAGATGCAGAGCGCTGATCAGACAGTCAACAGAAATTGGTGACCCAACGACACGTAGTGTTACGAGATGATAAGAATATATATAATAAACATACTTGGTACTTCTTTCTATGAGTGCTAATCAATACATTGTCTGATGATAATATATAAGTGTGGAAAACTTCTTAACGCGGGCGGAGTTTCTAGTCACACTCACCAACGCCATTGGCTTTGATTCTCATGCCTTCTTATAGCCTAACATAACACTTTTGTCTGGAAAGACGGAAAGGTGCCAATGGATGAAGAAGAAACATGTAGTCCCGTGTGGGAGGGTCTTGAGCCCGTACCTTTAACACAACGTGAAGACAAAGGTTGCTGAAAAAGATCAAAAGTGCTAAACTGGATTTCATCCATGATATCGACACAACTGGAGAGAACAGGGCGGAATGGAGGAATAGAAAGACTTTGACGTCTAAGAAAATAGCCAGATCATGATTCATTCATTCATTCAGTAGCATGTCCCTCGCGGAACCTCGCTGCCATAACAACCCTCCGGAAAACCTTCCTATCATGAGCAAGATGTCCTGCGTCTGATACACCCATCTGGAGATCATCTGCCACATCCTGCACCCATCTTCTCCTTGGCCTTCCTCTTCCTCTCTTCCCAGGCATATACCCCTCCATTATTGTTCTCTCTAGACTTCCATGACGTTTCAAGTGACCAAAATATTTCAATTTTCTTTGTTTTATTGTCTTTACTAGCCAACCCTCTTCAATATTCAGCTCTTGAAGTATGGATGCATTTTTTCTTTTCTTTACCCAAGATATTCTTAGAACCTGTCTGTAACATTTATATTCAAATGCATTTATGCGCTGTTCCGCTTGTTTAGTAAGTGTCCAGGTCTCACAGGCGTATGTTGCAATGGGAAAGATGCATGCTCTTAAATATCTGACCTTTGTAATTCTATCTGTACAATTCCATAATTTATTCAGTTGTTTTAGTCTTTGAAGAGCAATTGATAGTCGCCGTTTAATTTCTTTCATTGTGTCACCATTGTTGATAACCAGTGACCCAAGATATTCGAAATTGTCCACCACTTCCAATCTTTCCTCATTAACATATATTTCCTTCTCCATGGGAAATTAGACACAACCGTGAGTCAATCTTTCCGTGTCCGTTTTCTAGGCTGCCGGTTGTCGATTTTCACCTGCCTGCGACTTCGAAAGTTACAGCCTGGATGGTAATACATCATCGTCATAATCCACTTCTGCCGTTAAGCAGCGTGGGGAGGAAGAATTTGCGATCCAATGCACGCTGGATACCACTAGCTATTGTCATGCTGTGAAGGCGTATATTGTCTTTAATGTTGTCGATCCATTTTTTCCGCAGCCGTCCTCTAGCTCTTGTAGCTGATCTTCTGAGATGTAGTGCTTGTGATGGTATTTGATTTTGCTTCCTTCTAACGAGATGGCCAAACCACTGGATCTGCTGTTTCTCGATGGTAATACAACATATTAAAAACAGATATCTCGTTCAATCGGCAAGAACGCTATCAACAGGGTTGCCTATCCTTTACAGGACGTTGCAGAACCAACCCCAACAGCCCCTGGCTATTGTGTGGTTTTTTTCTAGGCAAATTTACGTCCAGTAGTTTGCCACTGCTTCCTGGACGGTCGGCTTTCTTGATACCACTGTCGAAACCAACGAAAGGCCAATAGTCCGCACCTGGGATCGAACCTGGCATCCCGGCATTACGACGCGTTCGCATCGACTTAGCCACAGAGCCGACGATCAACAGGGTAGACATGACAATTACACACAGTACTGTACCGTGCAATCGTGGGGGTGGGGGGACTTCAATTTTGTACTGTATAGACCAGTGATTCTCAAACTGTATGCCGCGGCGCCCCAGGAACCCGCGACCTCTTCACAAATATTCGAAGATACACGAGTTTTCTTATTTTTTAATCTCTTACACACGAATAGCTATACTTTTACTTGGGGTAGGGCGCTGCCGAAAAATTTTAATTGAAAAAAGGCGCCGCGACTAAGAAAAGTTTGGGGAAACACTTGTGTAGACTAATCCCTTTTCGCATACTTCAGTTGTTTTGAGAGGCGTGTGCGTGAGTGCGTACAGCGCGTGTGTATTGTTTTTCCCTCAATATCTCTATCCGGTTTAGTAGTATTGATCTTCTCCCTCATGCTTTTTAATGGGCAATGGGGTTATTCACAGACTGCTATCTCAGCAAATCTAGCATACACACGCATTAAAAGCATATAGTAGCCATCCGAAGTGCTAACACAAACAGTCCGACATTAGAAATGCAGTTCATCATTGATGGTAGCAGAAGTCACCAAAAGAACAGCAGTTGCACACGCAATGAATTTTAATCACATAATGGCCACACCAATATTGCGATAACCGGCATCGCGCCATTTTCTGAATCTACTATTCACACCACCACGTTGGTCACAGTAAAAAAACATTCCAAATGAAATGCGCAGCTCACAGTGTCACGCCATGTACTCAACTCAGAAGCTAGGCAACGAAACTATATCTTTCCAGTCTACAAATGGAGCAAAAAATGCAACGGCCACCGTCTGGCAGAAGCAAAAATTTTTGCCTCGGCTCAAAACAGTAGCCGTGCCTAGCTTCCATTTTGACCATGTGAGGGTTAATAAACGGTCACCCCAGCAGTACCCTCACTATCAGCTGGAGAAGGGACTTAGGACAATACATCCGCCAGCAAGCGTCGCCAAAACAACGACCTGACTGCCTTCGTTAACAGCCATGCAGTTCTTTGGTACGAAGAAGACACATTTAACTTGGGTTTCGCACTGCCGGCTCCCTACAAGAAGATATGTGTGCTACTGGTGTCCCGTAGCCAAAATATCATCTCACTGTATTACTAAAATCTGTACCACTGGGTGGTGAATTGATACACGACAAGGCAGATGTGGTCAAAGCCCATTGGGAAAAAGCAACAGAATCAGTAGAGAAACAAGATTATTATGGCCTGGAGAGAATGAGATACCTGGGTGTAACCAGAGGGTCTGGCTGGCTCACTACACTCAAAGGAAAGGCAAGTCGGACAAATGACCAGATTGTGAATGGAACCATCAGAATTGGAACTCTGCGCTGGCTGCTGAAGGTGGGGACGGAGCACGCACGAGAATGCATCGAGTATTGTGATGTCAATTCTTAACTCAACTCAAACCAACTGATAGTGTAAAAAAAACGCCCAAAAACGTTGGAATCGTTTCGACAGATGGTCATAAAAACTGCATTCTTTTTTTTAACACTGAAGCAGAAACGCCCATTAAAGAAAGGAATTGGTCACTCTAGCTCGGCAAGCAGATTCACAAAGAGGTAGTAGCATTTTATTTACGCCTCGACTCGTTTCAACACGGTCCACCCACCCTAAACAAGATCTGTTACTTCTGGCTGGACGAAGACTGATCACCTAATATAAGGACCGCATCAACCATTTACCAGTAAGGCATTCTGTTGGACAAATGGGTTCTTTAGTGCCCGGAAGAAAATGGTTGGGCGTAGAAAAGTTGATTTGCGGCTATCCAACCGAAACATAAAGATCGCTGGCCATATGCCAGTATGGACCTGGGAATAGATACAGATGGGCCACGATTGGCTGGTGAGAGATAAGCGGAGACAAGAAAAGAAACAAATGTTGAAAGAGAAAAAAAAAGACAGATGAGTAGATGGGAAACAACAGGCAGATAGACAGATGAGTGTGATTTTAAAAAAAACAGATAGATGAGTAAATGGGAAACAACCGGCAGGTAGACAGATGAGTGTAATAAACAAAAAACACAAGTGGATGAGTAGATGGGAAACAACAGGCAGATAGAAAGATGAGTGTAATAAACAAAAAACACAAGTGGATGAGTAGACAGGAAACAACAGGCAGATAGACAGATGAGTGTAATAAACGAAAAACACAAGTGGATGAGTAGACAGGAAACAACAGGCAGATAGACAGATGAGTGTAATAAACAAAAAAACACAAGTGGATGAGTAGATGGGAAACAACAGGCAGATAGAAAGATGAGTGTAATAAACAAAAAACACAAGTGGATGAGTAGACAGGAAACAACAGGCAGATAGACAGATGAGTGTAATAAACAAAAAACACAAGTGGATGAGTAAATGGGAAACAACAGGCAGATAGAAAGATGAGTGTAATAAACAAAAAACACAAGTGGATGAGTAGATGGGAAACAACAGGCAGATAGAAAGATGAGTGTAATAAACAAAAAACACAAGTGGATGAGTAGACAGGAAACAACAGGCAGATAGACAGATGCGTGTAATAAACGAAAAACAAACAGGTGGATGAGTAGATAGGAGACAACAGGCAGACAGACAGACAGACATGTCCCAAAGTAATTGTAGAATTGGTAATTTCAACTCCCTGGGGTGTATTCCTAGATCAGTGGTTTCCATCATTTTTTAGGAAGCGCTC